CCCAGTCCTTGAACAGAGTAAGTTAAAAAAAAAGTCTTCAGGCAGATTACTAAATTATTTTTCTCCATTTTCTTAGTGTTAAAGAAGAGTACATTTTTAATACTACAGACTGTTCTGTGCTGATAGCTTTACAACATTGTGCATGTACTATGAATAGAACGAACTTCACAGATGATTATACTTAAAGCTGGAGGTCTTTCTGTAAATTTTAAACAAAGTGTTCTATTAAATGCCATCTATAAAATGCTTGATGACTTACCTCCTAGGCTGATTTGTGATTTTGCCTGAGCTTTTGAAATCCCGGACAGAAAACTCTTTCGCTACAGGAAACAGATTGGTAACCGAATAAATTGCACTATAATCTAGAGTATTGAACACTTCTACATAGCAAGTATTGTTTTGCAATGCTTTCCTCTGTCTGCAGCATAAAATAGAAGTACTCTCTCTAAATAATGCTTGATGATCCCCAGGAATACATTTAAAGAGTATAGATGTCGGGTAAAACCGCAGTGGTTATTCTAAAATTCCCCTGTAGTTGCGGAGCACAGTTGTCTGTGGTTCAAGACAACTGTCTTTCCATCCTGATATGAAGTTAAATAATGTAATACTACTGAACAAATTTTCTGTTCCAAAAATGGTAGTATTTCTGCATCTGAAATAATTCCTTTCTATCAATTAGCAAATCCTCTGAGATTATCTGGAGTAAAAGAGGTTTATATAGATATGTAACATTTACAAATATCATACTCAAATTATATCTCAATTGACAATTTCTTCAGATAATTCTGCCAATCTTCACACTTCTTCCACTACAAACGGAATTCCCTTTGCATTTGGAACATATGAATATATGCATATGTATATGCAAAGGCTCATATGTACACCTCATTCAGTCCATACCATTGTAAACCCAACTTAGATACAGGTAGTTTATCAGGTATGCCTAATGACAGTGTCTGTGTAAGGTTTCTGTCCTGGGAAGAGTCCAGAGGACTTGCTTTCTTTCTGTTGGGGAATCCGTAACTTTAACCTCTAATAATTTTCCTGCTTTCATGAAACCTTTTCATAAAAGTCTTTCTTCATGTACCTTTCGCAGCAGCTGCCTTGCAGAGAGGTAACAACAGGCTTACATGTTTTTAAGGCTGGATCATCTGTTTATGCCTAATATTGATCTGAATGCCAAACTTAACTGGTCATTAAGAGGAAAAGAGCCAGCAGAATCATTCAGTGCACACACATAGGTTTCAGATTTAGACTGCAAATATCTTGGAGAGGGTTTGCATTTTAGTCTACTTTGTCAGACAGTTGCTGAGACCCGTTGCTGTGGGAAATGAATCTCAGTTGATGTGATACTGAGAACCCATAGGGTTGTGCATTCAGTAGCTATCCACTGATTTGATATATTTTGAGTAGTGGTCATTGCCCACAAAAACAATTGCACCCTCAACGATTGCAGTGGCCTGCTGAGTAGTTATATATCTTTTCACCATTGCAGTGTTACGATCCATTGGAATCTGAGATTAGTGAGAGCCAGATTCCTGGGTTTCATTACTTCCCTTAGGATATTTGCTCTAACACTGTTTAGGTTAGTACAAACGTGATGAGCTCTGAATTCACTCATGATGCATGTAGATGACACATTGTTTAAGAAATTCATGCAACTGCTTCCTATCTCAGGCTGCCAGGGGTGCCTGCATGATGCTCTGTTGCTCTCCTGCCTCTGAGACCCTGCTTGCCAGGTGCTGTGCTGGTACCATGCTCCTCTGTCAGATGTCCATCCGTAACGAGAGATCACTTCTGCAGTCATTTTAGTTTCTCTTTTTTTTTTTTTTTGAAAGGACTGGATAAGGACTGGTCAGGTGATTTATGTTGCTTCTAGGTTGAGCATCTAGGGAAGAAAGAAGGTCTATCTATGTGTAGGTTTTATAATTCAAAGTTTCAGTTTTAGATGCAGGGTAAAACTGGAATCTCTGGGCATCGTGTTCAAATCTCTAGTTTTGGTTTTGAGTTAATACTTTACATTGACCTCAACTGTTATTTAGGTTTGAGTGCATCTAAAAATGGCGTGAACATAGCATTTCTTTTAAGTTTCAATATTATGTAAAAGTTTGGAATAATTTTTGTTGTAAAACTTGAAACCTAAATCTAAGGTGACTTTGAAACTGAACTCTAACCTAAACTGCATGCATGTATCTGTGCCAATCTATTTTTATATATTATCAAATAAAATATCTTGATATGCTGAAAATGTATGTAGCACTTTTTCTTTAGTAGTAAATTGATTCATATTGGAAATAATAAATGGGACATATCAGTTATTACAGATCCCTTGCATTTCTTAGCAAAGATTTTCACTTTTAGAGCTGGTTATATCTTCCATATATGGGATATTCATGTTAACAATGATTGTTTATGGGACACAGGTTTATTACAAAATGACATAGTGTTTACAGTAATAAAACCAATTTTTATTTTTATTGTCATTTTCTAGTTAAGAATGTTTGGTGCCTCAACGTAGGGCAAGTTAATGTGAAATAAATCCTTTGTATTTAGGTTACGTTTGGTTGTGGTTCCGTCTGAAAATAACAGGAGCTGTTTTTGTCAAATGTATGATTACTAGTTTACATGTTTTCTTACTCGGTTTCTGTCTGGAAAAAATGTTTACAACATAAAAGCATCCTCAAGCTTGAGGGCATTTTTGGCTTTTTAAGTGGGAAAAGACTCCAGACACTCTGGTGGGATAATATAGGAAGTTTCTGTTGCTGGATGTACTGATGGGCTGAGGAGTTAAATCCTCTGAGCAATCAATCCACTGGCTTTTATGAATGCTTAGGGAAAAAAAAGAAATATATTGCTGGAAAAGAGAAATAAACCTTGTTGCAGGATATGTGATGGCCAAATTAAAAAAAGACATATGTGTGGTAAAGTCTCATGTATCATTGCAACTGTCTGACTGAGCAGGACAAGTGAAAGCAAAACAAACCCAGGAAATAATACTTTTCTTATAACAAATGGATTTTGAGGGAAAATCTCAATGAGGAAAGAAAGCATATTCTGATTCTGACTGCTCCTCTGCTGAGAACATGACTTTTGCTAAATAGCTTCATAATTACTTTTAGAGTTAATTCAGCAGGTCCAGTATGAGATAAATCCTTCCTTGGGAGAAGTATTGTCTATTATGTGTGCTGATTTATGAGAGAGAATCAGCTGTATTTTAATGATAGCTGGACTAGACTGTAAATAGAGACTAGGGCTTACAATATATGAGAAAAGCTGGTTTGTGCTTAATATACTGGATAAATTGTTCCTGGCTTCTTAGGATGTAACTATACTTGCTGTCGCACTCCTGGTTTACTCAAGAACTGTGTGAATTGCTGGGTAGGTGCGAGTCATGTAAGGGAAAACCCGGCGGGATACATTTTATATACCTTTTTTTTTTCCTCAACGTCATGTATTAACCTTTTTTGTCCTTTTTTTCTCCCCTCCATCAAAGAAAAGCCTTCTCAAGACTGAAGGCAAATTATAGGAGTGAGGAAAATGACCACCAATAATCAGAGCAATACGAAATTTAACACTGTGAGTTTGTTTTAGCAAGAGGAAAACACCAGCTGCCGGCTGTCATAAAATTCTAAGCTGAACCTTAACTTTGTGGGCAGCAGCTTTAAAATCTATTTCATATTTCTTATTTCTTCACTTAAGCTATTCCTTTCTCCAGCTAATAATAGGCTGTGGGGTTAAATCTTAGCTTTTGATATTTACTGGGAAATGTAGTACAGTGATTTATGAGTCAAAATGTACTTTGAATAAATTATCATTGCAAATTACGGTTTATGAAAGTTGTGACTATAAACGTAATTACACCATAGGCTTTGCACAACTTGAAATCTCACTTGCTGAATAAATTTGTTTTCATTCAGGTTGCATTCCCAACATTTTCAGAAAAGAGTGAATCAAACCTAACCGACAAAATTTCCTACAGAGTTTATTAAAAAGGTCACCTTTGTTTGCTAAACTTACCTAAAATATAAACATTTCTCTAATTAATGAGATGCTATTTTAGTCTGTTATGTTTCCTATTCAAGTTTACTAAACTAGAGACTCATAAGGAGACTCAAGAGCTCCACATTACGCCATGCCTTCAGCTATCTATATATCCTAAAATTGTTAAAGTTAAAATTGATTCTTTGAGCCGTTAGGGAAAAAACAGCCGCTAGCCAAAATTAGGTATATTACTGTAAATTGAGGAGGGGAGAGGTTGAAAGCTCTGCCTGGCAAGAGAAGGGTTAAGGACTTTTTTGCTATACCCGTTTCAAATTACAATGAGAAGCCTCTTCTTTCCCAGCAGGGTTGTGCTTACATTAGTCTTTAGATCTCTCTTGAAGAGAGCTGTTATATTTGTGCCTGCTAGATTTGGAAATAACAGTTCAGAAGCTGAAAAGGGTTGAATGGATTTACAGAAGGTTTTTTTTGCGAGTAAATTCATGGCAACACATTAATTTGATTAGTACATGCTTTAGAATTACTTTACACTCAAGCGATTCAAAAGATGTTAAAGTTATCACCAGGCTGCTGGACAAATATGTGTTACACCACCAAGGTACAGATCAAGACAAATCTGTGACTCAGGATTTTATCTTGGGAAGAGTGCAAGGTGTACGAAGAACTCAGAATAACGAGGGAAGATAACTCTGGGAACTACAATGTGTCAGAAGAACAGCTCTTGCTAATACAGCTCCCCACCAAAGACCTGGTTATCTAAGGTTTATATAGGAATGCCTAGGTCAGCTGACAAAATACTGGTCTTCTGCTCCATAAATGCAGAAAAAACGATAACAACAGTGGAAAATTGGAAGTCTGAATTTCAGCTTTCTTAGAAATAACTGCAACCTGACACATTCCATGGTATTTAAACAGGGTGGGGGGAGAGAAATCACCAAAGATGTTACGTTTAGAGATGACATTGAAGAATAGGTAAATTTTGTTTTTCAGCCACTGGAAAGCAGACCTCATAGGAACTCAGAACAAGTAGGAGAAAAGATTTTTTTTAATTTTTTTTTTTCCTTGTTCTTTTTCTTTTCAAAGATGAACCTAACTGCGCTCAAAGCTTTTGTGGGCTTGCTCTGGAATTGCTGGGTTCTGGTGGGTCACGCACAGGGAGGTATAGGAGACAATCATGTCCATTCAAGTTTTATTTACAGGAGGCTGCGGAACCATGAGAGAAGGGAGATTCAGAGAGAGATTCTCTCTATCCTGGGTTTACCTCACAGACCCAGACCATTTTCACCAGGAAAGCAGGCTTCTTCTGCACCCCTCTTCATGCTGGACCTGTATAATGCCATGACAAATGAAGAGGATACGGAGGAGCTGGAGTATTCACTAAAGGGATCAATGGCAGGGGAGAGCAGAGGGATACGGAAAGGATACCCTGCCTCTCCAAATGGATATTCGCGGAGAATACAATTATCTCGCATGACCCCCCTGACCACACAGAATCCTCCCTTAGCCAGCCTGCACGACACCAACTTTCTGAATGATGCTGACATGGTCATGAGCTTTGTCAATTTAGGTAGGTGGAAATTTTTTTGTTTATGCTCTCTTTCACAAACTGTTAGCCTGATCTTGCCAGGGGCAAACCTCTCGGCTGGACCGTAACCTGTTCTAAAACGGCAGGATCAGGCCCGGGCTGCTGTGCCACTGGTAAAAGAAAAGTTGTACTGATGGTAAAGTAGCTACGTTGTAGGTGGCCATGGAAAAAGATTTTTCTCACTGTTTATACAAAGTCAGTTTCTATAACTCCCCTCTGCTGGCTTCTGTTTTCTTTCTTTCATTGATGTAATGAAAATTCTAGCCTTAGGCCAACTAACTCCTTTTTCTTTTTAAATCTCAAAAAATCAAACACTTATGCCTATTGCTCGGTTATTTCCCTCACTGTTTTGCTTAAAGCTCAGACATGAACAAACATCAGTTGTTAATATTTTAAAGCCTAGAATGTTATGAAAAGGGAAAAGTTAAGCCATTTCCGAAAAAAAAAAAAAAATCTTAGGTTATTTAGGTTTTTTTTTTCTGTTGGTAAGAGTCAGAGTTTTATTATCTTTTCAGCTGGATGGCTGGATTTTAAATAATCTGTTGCTGTTTCTTTGTTATTTCTATTTAATAACCACAGACTGTGTTTTATTATACTGCCATGGTGCTCAGTCTGCAATGGTTCCTATTTTCTATGTCACAAATAAATTAAATAACAAGTAGAGTATTCAACACTAGAAACACGCAAGCAAAGAATGCTTTAGAAAATTATATCAATTCAGACACAAAAACTGATAAAACTAAATTATATTGGCTTCTGAGTAGAATACACATGCTTACCAGTTACATTGTGGTTGAAAAAGCAGCTACATATTTCTTTAATAGAAGGCAACTTAAATCTGATTAAGAAAGCTGCAAATAATTCATGAAATGTATTTACTATTTTTATAAGTAGTTTAAATGCTGCAGGACTCATAAAGCTGGCTAAAAAAAAAACTTCTCGTTTGATCTGAATAGCAAGAAATTTAATTGAAAACTTTAAGTTCCTCAATAAGCTAGTACAAAATCTGATAAACTCTTGCTTTCCAGGATAATACTTTCTACAGAAACTTTTTAAACAATGGCACATGTTCCGAAATGCCTTCAGATTACCACACACATTCTGTAGCTTTTATGTCTACCGGGTCTTTAATCCTTGCTGCAGGATTAAAAATGTTTCCAAACACTAAAATCCTCAACAACTCAAATTTCTAGGAAAATGACATCCTAGAGTTTAGTTGTCATAATAGTAATATTCAGTGTCACATATGTCCTAGCCTGATCCTGCTGCGATTCCCCAGACAAAAAAACCTCTCTGGAAGAACACAAGTTTTCACTGGGTGTCTTACCTTGACTGAGAAGTTTCCAATATTTGTCTCATTTTGTTGGGAAGCCAGTGTTGCCTTGAGAAAATACTTTTGAGATGTTAAAGCATCTATTGTAACTTACGTTTCTAAACTATGAAAGCTGGGGTGAGATGCTTTATTTTGCTAGTGAATATGATTAGTAGAAGCCATTAACTTGTAGAAAAGTACCATGTAAATACCAGGTTTTGTTTGGTTTCTGTAAAATTAAAATGTATCTCAGCACTTAGGGAGGCTAAATCCTAATTCACTTCAAATGCCCTTCCATACATGTTGAATACTGCTGTTTATCACGCATTCCACCGTGTAATGTACATAAGGAATATTGATGACCACTATAGATTAGCTTCAACGTTTTTATTAAACAATCCTATGTTTCAGTATAATTAACATAAAAATGAAATAAATCATAGGAACAGGTAAGCATTTTACACGATTTATGCAGTATAAGATTGTGACAGATGAGGGCAAGCTCTTTTAAGGTACAATGGGGAAAAATACGCAGTGATAAGTGAATGTTAACACTATACCTTAAAATCAATAAATGCTGATGCAGCACAGTAATAACTCAACTGGTTTTAGATTTGAAGCCTCAGTCAACTTGCATCAAATTAATCTGCTCTGGAAATAGCATTCACCATGTTCATACTTGCACACCATTAATTACATAAGGTGTAATTATAAAGCTTTATTAATCATCTTGATACTTTAAATTGAAACCTCCCTATATAGTAGTTGCTACTATAATAATTTAAAACATATATATTAAACAAGAAATAAGTAGCTGAGACATTTGCTAGGAATTATTAAGCATAAGATTGAAAAGGCTGAATAAGATTAAAAGTAAAGTAAAAAAATTGACAAGGACAAATAATTCTATATTAAAGAATGAAAATTGAAACTGATATGCTTGTTTTGACAAAAATCAACCTGTCAGAGTTGCAAATGCCTCACTTTCAAAAACAAATTTAAAAAATAATCATCAAGGGAACTGCAATTATAATTCTGTCAAGCGACTAGGGAGGAAAACATGACTGTATTTACTTGTCCTGAAGTTAAAATTGTAAACACCTGCTCTTTATACTGGAATTCATACCAGAATTTCCATCTCTTTGTTTCTTGAAAGATATGACAAGACAGAGACTGTGCCTTGTCCTGTGTTCTATATAAGACTGTGTGTGTTGGCAGCTCTCCATAAATATTGATGATTGTAACAGAAGAGTTAACTGGGGTTGGTCCAGCAGTCAAAGAATAAATCCTCTACTAAATTCACTGGGGTTTTCAAAGATCTGATTATATCACCTACAAGTTCAAGACTTTGTTTTCCTCACTGGGTATTTTTTTACCCTGTTGTTATATTTTATTATATTGTTGCAAAGCCCTGACTGTTTAGAGTTCTGGCATCTTCTTTTTGGCCCGTCTCCCAAAATGACATACGTAGGATACCCTGTTCCTCAGAGAACAGGCAAATAATACGTATGTAGTTCTACTCACTTTTCTGCTTGCTCAAAATTTAGTTAGGGAAGGACTCTTTTAAGATAAATGTTAGTGTTCCCACTCTTCACCTCTCACCAAAAGAGGGGGATTGAATAAAAAATTATGTACATGACTGAGGCTTGGTGAAACAGCAGCACTTTTGAAAACTACATTTAAACATTTCAAGGACTGAATTTTCCATTAGCATCAAAGTGATCATCAAATCCACTGTATTTAAGTGTTCCTTCTCATGCAATTCAAATGGTCGGTATTTTCTTTTGTTTACAACACATCTGTAAATTTTTCTCTAAACAGATTGCTGCATTTGCTAAGCAACTGTTTTCTTTCTCCATATTTTGCTATGAATTGATTAGATAGAGGATAAATATATACAAGTTTTGTAGGGTATTGTTATGTTTTCTTTCTTAGCATATAAAATTAATTTCAAAAACTCAAATGTGAAGATCTCTTATAAGGTTTGTGATCCTGACCTACATATGCTAATTTAAAGGATATAATATTACAGAGATTTTTAAAGTAACTGACGCACTCCAGAAAGACACCTTTTCTTCTTCACACACAATGTGATTCTACAATCAAAGTTACAACAACCCTCAAACCACACATGCCGTGATTCTTAAATCAGACACTGAAATCAAAGGAAATTTTGCCTTTTTGAGGCACAGAAGACTGTTCATATTTCTCCAGCTTCTCTACCCCAAGTTTCTACACTGTCCTGAAGATTATATTCTTCTTTAAACTGAATCACTAAGCAAATACATAAATTCAAAAGATTTACATCCCATTTTATTCACCGGAGAATGCTGATGTGACAGAAGACAACTTTTATGCACCTACTTTGAGAAACCTACAGTACATCAGTTCACATGGAATACCTGTACAAATATATTTTCGTTACACATGAAAAAGAAAGGATTTCTTGAGTGTATATAGTGGCTAGTTTCTTACATTAAACTAATTCAGTTTCTATAACCTTCCACTCACAGCTAACATATCAGCAGTGAGGGATATGGTGTGCTAAGCTACAAAATGCCAGGAGCTGTGGAAGGGGAGCTGAGTTTGAAGGATACATGCAAAAAGGCCTCAGGATCATTAACGTCTCTACTTGAAACTTAGAAATGAGCACACTTTCTTTCTTTCCTTTCCACCGGACTTCAGATGTTGCTGTCTTAATTTTAACCTTACATGAATTTCCTTGGCTGTGGTACAGTTTTAGTCTGTAAAATGCAGGCTTCTAATGAAAATATTGACATAGCCTTAACTGAAGTGACGGAAATAATGCTATTATCTTGCCTAGGACAGAGGGATGCTATTACAGAGATAAAACTTGTTAAATAACAAATAGACCCCATGTCTTTATTTGCGGAGATGGATCAATGCTGAGAAAAAATGAGAAAACATTTATGAAGTTTTTTTGAATGGCAACCCAAAGACAATAAGATGGTATTTTTCACTCTTTTACATACAACTTAAAACAAATTAGATCATGTGGGTCTTATTTATCTTATCCTAAAGTAGACCTCACCGTCATCTTGAAGTCCTAAGATTTTTTTTCTCATAATAAAATTTTAGTCACCCAATCAGTGAGCTGAACTAATCTGTTATGACCTAAGTACGCAATCAAGCATTAGAAATAACTATTAACGATGAAATAATATTCTACGGTCAAATTAAATATTAAGAAAGCTTTTTGAAAAAGAAGTTTGTTTATTTCTAGAACAAAGGGAATTTACCCATGGGATGGTATTCCCTAAAAATCTTTGCCCAGTCCTTACAATTCATTAGGCAGTTTTAACCAATTTTTCTGCAATGACAGAGCAGGTTGTTTTTGATTTTGAATAAGAAATAGTCTCCATATTCCTTTTTGGAATTACACTACATTTGTTGTTTTGTATTGAAATATTTTATATTTCCTTTGAAATCTCTCACATTACATGAACCTTATGAACTATACAGCTCTACCTCAAAATAGGTTTGTCTGTGATTCATAAATATCATCTAACAAAATAATGTTTTTATAACTGTCAATTAATTTTTTTGCCAAAGTTAACACTTTAAATCCAAGTAAATTATTGTATCTACCCAGCCAAAAAAATGTCAAGCTCTCCATTAACTGGGGTATAAAACTGTCTGACTTTCCTTG